ATAGAGGGGAAGGTTTTCTTTTTTTTTTTTTTTTGAGACAGAGCTGCTTTCTTGCCTAGGCTAGAGTGAGTGCCATGGCATCAGCCTAGCTCACAGCAACCTCAAACTCCTGGGCTCAAGCATCCTACTGCTCAGCCTCCCGAGTGCTGGGACTACAGGCACGAGCCACCATGCCCGGCTATTTTTTTATATATATATATTATTATTGGCCAATTGATTCTTCTATTTATAGTAGAGACGGGGTCTCGCTCAGGCTGGGTTTGAACTCCTGACTTGAGCAATCCGCCCACCTCGGCCTCCCAGAGTGCTAGGATACAAGCGTGACCACCGGCGCCCGCCAGAGGGGAAGGTTTTCTATAGCATGAAGTCAGATCTCAAAAGTGAGATAAATTTTCAAGTAACTTTAATTGAATAGAAATGTGCACTATACCAATATGAACATGCCAGTCGATGAAGAAAACAGTGATCTTCATTCCAAGAAACAAATGATGACCTGAGATATAACGGTCAAATCTAACGGCAGAAGGCTGCAGGTATCTTTAATGTAACTCATCAGGATCATATATATCATCTCACTACAACTATTGATCATGTCCTCAGCTTCTTTTATACTTTTAGAAGTACACAGAGTGAACACACTTCAGGTGAATGTATAATCAATTTCACATTAGAGACACTGTTGTCCACTTTCAGCCCAGACATACACTGCACAATAATAGTTCATACAAATATTCTTTTCCACACACATATGGGCTACCGAAATCCACATTTCTATTTTTCTTCAACGTTAGAATCTTAAAGTTTTCAGCCACAGATGCAAAACATATACAAAGTACATCTAAGAAATAATGTATCTAACCACTCAGTATTGAATTATGTTCAAAAAATTAATATACCAATGAATTATTAGCTAATCATGATTTTATATTCAAACTCAATGCAAACTTACTGATAGGAAAATGAATTGAAAGAATGAACTCTGTAAGTTTGTTTCTAAACCAGTTTGTTTGTTTATCTTACAAGTATCTTCAGAATTTTTATGAAATGCTCATTAGGAGAATATTAGGAGGGGTGTGGGGCTCACACCTATATTCCTAGCTCATCTGCAGCCAGGCGGTTGAAGACAAGCCGGGCAACATAGAGGAACATCACTCTACAAAAAGTATAGTCATTAGTGGGCATGGTGGGTGTTAATGTAGTTACAGTACTTGGGAGTCTGAGGCAAGAGGATTGACCAAGTGCAGTAGATAAAATTTGAAGAAGTCTTACACGAAGACACAGCACTTCAGACTGGGAAACAAGAGAGATCCTGTCTAATAATTAATTCCTGAACCGCAGTTTCTTGTGTCAATATGGATAGACCTCATTAATATACATGCGCCCAAACAAAAATAATTTATCACGATATATACAGTGTCTAACCATTTATATAAAAATTTAGAACATGAAAACCAAAACTACATAACATTTCTGACCATACACATATGTATTCACAAGGTTTGAATATTCGTAGGAATGACAAACACCTAATTGTGGGTGTTCATTAGTTTCTCTAGTTAGTGTCACTACTATCACAGGTCCCAAAGGGCAAGATATTTAAGAACTGCTGTTGAAAACACTATCTTTACCAAATTGTCATTAAGAAATGATTACTTACTTTCCTCCTTTATAATAATCACACATACCATACACACACACACACACACACACACACACACCAAGCCTCCTACTCAGAGTATCTGATTGGGTTAAAATCATCAGTATAACAATAATATGATGAAATAATTAAAAGTTAAAATACAGGTGACCTGTGAGAAGGAACTGTTTCATCTTTGTAAAGTTCAGATATGTCCAAAAACTACAAAATCTGAAGGAAATGGAAAAATTCTTGGAAGCACAAAATGTCACTAACCTCAATCAGGAGGAAATAGATTTGCTAAACAGACCAATATCAAGCCCAGAAATTGGAGCAGCAATAAAAAATCTTCCAACAAAAAAGGCCAAACCAGATAGGTTCACACTTGAATTTTACCAAACATACAAAGGAAAACTCCTACCTATACTGCAGAAATTATTCCAAAGCATTGAGAAGGATGGTATCCTCCCCAATCATTCTACAAAGTCATTATCACCCAGATACCAAGGCCAGGAAAGGATGCAGCAAAAAAAGAAAATGAAAGACCTATGCCCTTCATGAATGTAGATGCCAAAATCCTCAACAAAATTTTAGCAAACTAAATCAAACAGCACATCACAAAAATAGTTCACCACAACCAGGTGGGCTTTTATCCCAGGGATGCAGGGCTGGTTCAACATATCCAAATCTATAAATGTAATTTACCACGTAAATAAAACCGAGAACAAACACCATTGGATTCTCTCAATAGACACAGAAAAAGCCTTTTGATACAATGCACCACAATTGTATGATACAAACCCTTAAAAAAATAAGCATTGATGGGACATTCTTTAAAATTATTAAGGCCATATATGAGAAACCCAATGAAAATATCATACTGCATGGGGAAAGATTGAAAGTATTCCCACTTAGAAATGGATAGAGACAAGGTTGCAAGGTTGTAAACTATCTCTACTTCTAGTCAACATACTGCTTGAAAATATTGCCAGACAAATCGAAGAAGAGAAGGGAATTAAGGATGTGTGAATGGGGGCAGAGGAGGTCAAACTCTAACTCTTGACTGATGATATGGTATTATACACAGAAATTGCCAAGGATTCAACCAAGAGAATCTTGGAATTTATAAATGAATTCAGTAAAGTCGTAGGATACAATAATTAATGAAAACAAATCAGTGGCATCCATATACACCAATAACAGACAGCCAGAAATCAAATCAAAGATACAACACCTTTAACAATAGCATCAAAAAACTTAAATATCTAGGTATATTTAAAGAACAAGCTGAGAGATATGTATAGGGAAAATTATGGGCACTGAGAAAAGAAATTGTAGATGATGCAGAGATGGAAATCCCTACCATGCTCATGAATTGATACAATCAATATTGTTTAAATGTCCATTCTACCTTCAGTGATCTGCAGAATTAATGCAATCCCTATCAAATTTCTACCATAATTTTTTACAGATTTAGAAAAACTGACTCTATGCTTTGTCTGCAACCAGAGAAGACTTCGTATAGCTAAAGCAATCTTAAACAAAAAGAACAAATGAGGAGGCATCAGTCTGATGCCTTCAATCTTTACTACAAAGCTATAGTAACCAAAACAGCATTTAATGGCACAAGAACAGATTTATAGATTTTTGGAATAGGATGGAGAGCCCAGATATTCAACCATCCTCATATTGTCATCTAATATTCAACAAGCAGACAAAAGTATACATCGGGGAAAAGAATCTCTATTCAATAAGTGATATTTGGAAAACTGGATATTCATGTGTACAAGATTGAAATGTGATCCCCTCCTCCTACCTCTCACAAAAATCAACTCACGTTGTGTAACAGACCTAAATCTGAGGCGTGAAATGTTAAGGAGTCTGGAAGAAAATGTGCGGAAGACTCTTTTAGACATCAACTTAGGTAAGAAATTTTTGAAGCAGACTCCCAAAGCAATCGCAGCAGCAAGAAAAATAAACAAATGGGATCTTATCAACTTAAAAAGCTTCTGTACAGCCAAGGGAAGTGCCATTAGAGTGAACAGACAACCTACAAACCAGGAGAATATATTTGCTTTCTATACACCCAATAAAAGGCTGATAACAAGAATCTATATAAAACTTATGAAAATCAACAAGAAAAAATCACACAACCCCATCAATAAATGGGGAAAGAACATGAACAGAAACTTTTCAAAAGAAGACACACTGAAGGCCAGCAAACATAAAAAAGTGTTCAACATCTCTAATAATTACGGAAGTGCAAATCAAAACTATGATGAGATAGATACCAACTAACTCCAGTGAGAATGGTCTCTATCAAAAAGTCCCATATAACAAATGCTGGTGTGGATGTGGAGAGATAGGAATACTTTTACACTGCTAGTGGGACTGTAAATTAGTACAACCCCTGTCCAAAGTAGTTTGAAGATACCTCAAAGAGCTAAACATAGAAATACCATTTTATCCAACAATCCCACTACTAGGCATCTATTCAAAGGAAAAAAAGACATTCTATAATAAAGGCATGTGCACTTGAGTGCTTACAGTAGCACAATTTACACTTGCAAAGATGTGGAAACAACCTAAATACCCATCAATACATGCGCGGATTAATAAAATGTGGTAAATGTATATACCATGAAATACTACTCAACTACAAAAATCAATGCTGATCTGCACCTCTTATTTTATCCTGGATAAAGATTTATCCCTTCCTTCGAGGTGTGGTATCCCAAGAATAAAGAAACATGCACCACATGTACTTACCATCAAACTTGTACTAACTCATCAACACTAAGGTGCTCACACAGTATTCATACTCACTGGGTGCCAGTCAGGTAGGGGGGTCCTGGTTGGCGGAAGAGGGGGTAGGTGGGTAAACCCACAGCTTATGGAAATGGGGCATACTGGATGGGGAAAGAATACGCTTGTAGCCCTGCCTTGAGACAAATGAATTTTTTTGTAACCAAACTCTTTGTAAACCCCCTGCCCACTGTCCTGATTTAAAAAAAAAATATTCTCCCCTAAAAACCCCAGAATTTTAACAAGCATTTGAATCACAGGAAAAATTAAAGAGTGTCATACTTCACTCTCTGACTCCCTAACAACTATAGAGATTCTAAATTTGGACTTTCAGAGGGTCAGAACATAAAAGTAGAAAACAAATTAGTAAAACTTAGGTTTTTTAAAAATTTCCTTTCCTATGCTTGTATACATCTTATTTCACACATAATGACATTTGCATTGTTTGTGGCAAACCCACCCATCAATTTGGGAAAAACAACTTTGAATGAGTAGACTGTAAGCATTGCTAAATTTTAATGCAATTCTTCCAGACCAAAATTTGCATTATAAAATTTACCTGATCTGGTCCCAGCACCCTGGATCCCTCCTACAAAACCAGCACTCAGGGAGGCCCCGGGGGAAGGATGCCTTGAGTCCAGGACTTTGTCACCAGCTTGTGAAACAAGGAGAGAGCGGGTCTCTACAGGAAAAAAGTCACAATTAGTTCAGCTTCAGGGCAGGAGCCCATACCTCTGCTCCTCAGCAGGCTGAGGCAGGGGATCCCTTGAGCACAGGACTTCCATGTTGCAGTGAGCTATGATTGCACAACTGCACTTCATCCTGGATAATACAGTGAGATTCTATACGTATTTACCTGGTCTGGATGATTGTATGTTCTTTGTTTCTAGTGCTCTCTCTGGAACAGATTCTTGCATTTCAGAGATTGGCTGAATGGGGTTAGAAACAAGGTGTTTCAGAAATAATCTATATTTCATATAATATACAGTGAATAATTCAAGATAAGATATACATGTTATTACCTTCAAGGGAGGTTGTTTGTCAGAAGACTCTAAAAAGCAAAAGGAATATACAATTAATGCTAATTATTATATAAATGTAAACATGGCAAAGCCAACCTTACATTCATAAAAAACTTAGTCTCAATCTGAATCCTCACACATGGCTTTGTAAATGGTAAGCCTTTTTCTTTTTTTTTTTTGCTTTTTTTAGTGTTAGGATAGCAACATGTAGCAAATATGCTGATGAAACATAGAAGGGTAGGTGTTCTCCAGCATGAAATTAAAATCTCAAAAGTGAGATTACTTTTCAAGTAATTTTCATTAAAATGGAAATGTACACCTATGTCAATTTGAACATGCTAGTAGATGAAGAAAAAGTGATCTTCATTCCAAGAAGCAAATGATGACGCTGAGAGGATAAAGGTCAAAGCCAATGGCAGAAGGCTGCAGGGTACCTTTAACACAACATATCAGGATCATATATATCATCTCACTACAACTATTTATCATTTTCTTCAGTTTCTTTTGTAATTTTAGAAGTACACAGGTGTGAACACACTTCAAGTGAATTCATAATCAATTTCACATTACAGAAATTGTTGTCATTTATCGGTCTGGATGTACACTTGCACATTACTAGTTCACACAAATATTCCTTTTTTCTATACACATGTAGGCTACTGGCATACTGTCCTGATTTTTAAAAAAAAGAGAATAAAAAAAGAACAAAAAAGAAAAAATATATTCTCTATAAATAAAAAAAAAGAATTTTAAGAAGCATTTGAAACACAGGAAATATTGCAGTGTCATACTGCTCTCTTGGACTCCCTAACAAGTATAGAAATTCCAAACTTGGAACTTTAGAGTGTTAGAACATAAAAGTAGAAACATAGGAGTAAAAACTTAGGATTTTTACATTTGTTTTCCTATGCTTGTAAATATCTTATTTCAAATACGGAAATGAAGACTATCCTTCCATCAAATTTAGAAAAACAATTATGAATGAGTAGACTGTAAGCATTTCTAAATTTTAAATGTAATTCCTTCCTGGCCAAAACTAGCATTACAAAATTTACCTGATCTGGGCCCAGCACCTTGGATCCCGACTACAAAACCAGTACTCGGCGAGTCCACAGGACTTTGAGGCCTTGAGTCGAGGACTTTGCCACCAGCTTGTGGGACAGGGGAGAGCAGGAAAAAGGTAACAATTAGTTCAGTTTGGTGGCAGGAGACCATACCTCAGCTACTCGGCTGGCTGAGGCAGGGGATCCCTTGAACAGAGGACTTCCATGTTGCAGTGAGCTATGACTGCACAACTGCACTTCAGCCTGGATAACACAGTGAGATTCTATTTCTCAAAAAACATATTTACCTGATCTCGATATTTGCATGTTCTTTGTTTCTAGTGCTCTCTCTGGAACAGATTCTTTAATTTCAGTGGTTGGCTGAATGGGGTTTCAAACAAAGTGTTTCATAAATAATCTATATTTCATATAATATGTAGTGAATAATTCAAGATAAAATATACATGTTATTACCTTTAAGGGAGGTTGTTTCTCAGAAGCCCCTAAAAAGCACAAGGGGCATACAATTAACGCTAATAATTATATAAATGTAAACATAGCAAAGCCAAAGACACATTCATAAAAACTTAGTTTCACTCTAAATCCTCTCACAAGACTTTGGAAATGGTAAGGTTTTCTCTTTTTTTTTGCTTTTCTGGTATTAGGACATGAGGGAAGTATGAAACATAGAGGGGTCGGTGTTCTCCAGCATGAAGTTAAAATCTCAAAAGTGAGATTACTTTTCCAGTAACTGTAATTAAAATGGCAATGTACACCTACACCAATTTGAACATGCTTGTTGATGAAGAAAACAGTGATCTGCATTCCAAGAAGCAAATGATGACCCTGAGAGCATAAATGTCAAAGCCAACTGGCGAAGGCTGCAGGGTATCTTTAACACAACTTGTCAGGATCACATATATTACCTCACTACAACTATTTTTCATGTACTTCAATTTCTTTTGTAATTTTAGAAGTACACAGGTGTGAACACACTTCAGGTGAATGTATAATGAATTTCACATTAGAGAAATCGTTGTCAATGGATTGGCTGAGACATACTTTACACAATAATAGTTGATACAAATATTCCTTTTTTCCACACATATGTGGGCTACTGGTATACTGTCCTGATTTAAAAAAAGAAAAAAATATATTCTCTATAAATAAAAAAAAAGAATTTTACCAAGCATTTGAAACACAGGAAATATTGCAGTGTCATATTGCTCTCTTGTCTCCCTAACACTTATAGAGATTCCAAACTTGGAAATTTAAAGAGTCAGAACATAAAAATAGAAAACATATGAGTAAAAACTTAGGATTTTTACATTTGTTTTGCTATGCTTGTAAACATCTTATTTCAAATATGGAAACAAAGAATAATATTTGTATTATTTATGGCAAATCCTTCCATCAAATTAAAAAAACAATTATGACTATATACATTTCTAAATTTTAATGTAATTCCTTCCAGGCCAAAATTCGCATTACACAATTTACCTGATCTAGGCCCAGCATCATGGATACTGCCTACAAAACCAGCACTCGGCAAGACCACGGGAGAAGAATGCCTTGATTCCAAGACTTTGTCACCAGCTTGTGGGACAAGGCGAGAGCAGGTATCTACAGATCAAAAGTAACTATTAGTTCAGTTTGCTGGCAGGAGCCTCCGCAGGGTAAGGCAGGGGGATCCCTTGAGCACAGGACTTTGATGTTCCAGTGAGCTATGGTCGCACAACTGCACTTCAGCCTGGATAACACAATGAGATTCTATTTCTTGAAAAACATATTTACCTGGTCTGGATATTTGCACATTCTTTGTTCCTATTGCTCTCTCTGGAACAGATTCTTTAATTTCAGTGGTTGGCTGAATGGGGTTTCAAACAAAGTATTTCATAAATAATCTATATTTCATATAATATGTAGTGAATAATTCAAAATAAAATATACATGTTATTACCTTCAGGGGAAGTTGTTTCTCAGGAAACCCTAAAAAGCAAAAGGGACATATAATTATGTTAATGATTATATAAATGTAAACATGGCAAAACCAACTGCACATTCATAAAAAACTTAATCTCAATCTGACTCCTCACACAGGGCTTTGGAAATGATAAGGTGTTTTGTTTTCTGTTTTAAGTGTTAGGACAGCAAAACGAAGGAAATACACTGATGAGAAATAGAGGGGTAGTGTTCTCCAGCATGAAGGTAAGATCTCAAAAGTGAGATTGCTTTTCAAGTAATTTTAACTAAAATACAAATGTACGCCAATACCAATTTGAACATGTTAGTCAATGAAGAAAACAATAATTTTCTTCCAAGAAGCTTATCATAACCCTGAGAGGATAAAGGTCAAAGCCAATGGCAGAAGGCTGCAGTATATCTTTAATGCAACACATCAGGATCATTTACATCATCTCGCTACAGCTATTTCTCATGGCCTTCAGTTTGTTTTGTAATTTTAGAAGTACACAGGTATGAACACACTTAAGGTGAATGTATAATCTATTTCACATTAGAGAAATTGTGATCAATTGATCAGCCCAGACATACACTTGCACAATAATAGTTCATACAAATATTCCTTTTTTCCACACACATGTGGGCTACCAGTGTTCCCACATTTCTTGTTTCTTCAATGTTAGCCATCTTAAAGTTTCTTCAGCCACACATGCTAAATCATATATAAAGCACATCTGAGAAATAATGTATGCTAAGCACTCAATATTTAATTATTGGGGCAGTCAATAATTTCATTTTCAGCCACTTGAAAATGGCTGATTATGGGTGACCTCCTATCTCTCTGCTCTCAGAGTACGAAGCAAATAACATGGACAACTACATGCGAGTCAATCGCACTCCTACAGGATCAGCTTCATCAATCTGCAGAGAAGCAGCGAGGGAGAAGCTGCGAGCAACAAGCAGCACTGGGGGGAAAAAGGTGAACCGGAGAATCGACCGCATAGTTGGAGAGCGTGAGATATACTATAGGGAGTAGAGCATGAGACGGCGGTGCCCATCGGCCAGCCGACCAGGACAGTGCAATCTGACCCACAGGAGGACGACTCTTCCTCCACCGACCTCCACACCCACGCAGGCAGGTAAGCGCTGAAGTCAGTGCCAAGTGGTAGCACGGGCAGTCAGGCTGTGTGGACTAGAGAGAGGATCGGGAAATATTTTGAAATCTCCTGCGTGCTGCGCTGGGTCTGTTTTGGTTGGCAAAGGGTCTGGACCCAGCATACACTTTCCGGTTCTGCAGGAGAGAGCTTGGTGACAGGCTCCTCACTTCAGGAGGCCGCCAGGACCAGAACAAGGGCAGTGAACACCATAAAGGAGGCTCTGCCCTCAGAACTAGCTGAAGATCTGGCTGGCGCAGGGTGGGGCAGAGTACACATCCCTGCTTCTGATCAGTCCTGAGTCAGTGTGTAAGGGAAGCAGTGGGCTCAGCAGGTGGATCTTAGAAACAGTGCTCCAAAGCCAGCCCAGCTACCCTCTGTGCCATTGCCTCACCTCCTGCGGGCTCTCAGTGTGTGGGCAGCCACCATTTGGGGAATCCATAGCCTAAAAATGCTGTGGCATGTTGCCTAGGCAACAGTCTCAGGCACTGCTGCTACCCCAGCCCAGCAAAGCAGGTCCGTCCGGCCATTGGAGGACGGGAGTAATGAGAAGCTGATTTCTCTCCCAACTCTGCCACTGGTCTTTTTGTGCTGGTGGCTCAAGCTCCCCCTTTGAAGGGGTGGAAAAGGGAGAGAGGTCGCTTTCTTGGCTGAGTCACCAGGTGGACTGGGCGTCCCCTGTCCTCTACAGTAGCCCTGAGGTTTATACCTCACACCAACTAGATAAACCCTGCCCTTGTAGGGGTGGAGTAAAGAGAGTAGCCGCTTCCTGGGCTGAGATGCCTGGTAGCCCTAGGAATTGCTCTTCCCTAGGCTGGTGGGTTATCTTCCCCTCTGGCAGGGTAGACTCCGCCCTTGGAGGAGGGGAAAAATGAGAAAAGACGTTTTCCAGGCTGGGACCTGCAGCAGTCTCAGCCAATGCCTCTCCCCTAGCCCACCAGGACAGACTCAGTCCTGGAAGGAAGGGAGAAAGGAGAAAAGTCGCTTTCCCTAAGACTAGCTTCAATCTGTGGGACCTTGGAACTGAGCAAAGGGGGACAGATTGATGATTTGGTACAGTGGGTTGGTTTTGGTCATTTGATAAGATCAGAACACAAGGGCTTGCCCTTGGCGCCCAGACAGTTGCCAACTTAGGGGCTTGTGGTCTGGGAAGGAAAATCTCGACCAGAGTCCTTAGCAATTGCACAAATTGGCACCCGCCCCATCAACAGCTGCTCTGCAAGAGTGGCGAAAGACCCCAGAATAACATTTTAGCAGCTCCACCCTAGCTACAGATCAAGCAACCTCTGAAATATTCTCTCTTAGGATTGCCAATACCTGTTGCACTTCTCATCCCACCTAAAGTGGTAACAGGGCCCAAGGAACCCTTGGGGGTGGCATGACATTCCCCAAGACTGAGATAGCTGTATATCCCATTTGGGGGTTTAGAGCTCAATACAAAGGTATTGGAATACCTTGATAACTGACTCCTCCACGCAACCTACAAGCAACAAAAGAGAGAGTAACTTCACAGCCCAACACAGTGCTTCTCACCTCAAACTAGTGGTTGATAGTGGAGTCAAAAACACAAGAATGATCCAACTTCTAGGAGTCTAAGCAAGGGATCCAAAATCACTAATCTCTGTAAGCAGAAGGTGAAGACAATGGTTCAAAGATAACCCATCAGGCTAAAACTCTTCTAAGACAATACAGGACCAGAGCACATCTCCCCAGGTCTGCCAAGGAACATCCCTTTGCAATCCCAGAATTTAGTCCATAAACCAGTCCCAGCACCTCCAGTCCTTGACAAAGTAGCCTGATGAGAAAGAATTAGCAAAAGAACACAGGAAACATGAAAGATCAGAGAGAAAAGTCACCACCAAAAGAAAATACTCGATCTCCATCAACTGACATCAACTTACACTATAGGATTAAACTGACAGAGGAAGAATTTTGAATATGGATTGTAAGACAAAAATATACATTGGGGAAAAGAATCTCTTTTCAATAAATGGTGCTGGGAAAACTGGATAGCTATATGCAGAAGAATGAAACTGGATCCCTACCTCTCACCTCTCACAAAAATCCATTCAAGATGGATAACAGGCTTAAACCTAAGGCATGAGACCTTAAGAATTCTAGAAGATGTTGAGAAGACCCTTTCGGACATCGACCTATGAAAAGAATTTTTGAAGAAGACTCCCAAAGCAAGCACTGCAGCAACAAAAATAAATGGGATCTGATCAAATTAAAAAGCTTTTGCAAAGCCAAGAAAACTATTAGAGCAAAAAGACAGCCTACAGAATGGGAGAAAATATTTGCCCTCTACACATCCAATAAAGGACTGATAACAAGAACCTATCTAGAACTTAAAAGAATCAACAAGAAAAAATCAAACAACCCCATCAATAAATGGGCAATGAAAATGAACAGAAACTTTTCAAAAGAATATAGAGTAATGGCCAGCAAACTTATAAAAAAATTGCTGAATACCTCTAATCATTAGAGAAATGCAAATCAAAACCACAATGAGATATCACCTAACCCCAGTAAGATTGGCCTCTTTTACCAGAAAATCCCAAAACAACTAATGCTGGTGAGGATGTGGAGAGACAGGAACACTCTTACACTGTTGGTGGAACTACAAATTAGTGCAACCTCTCTGGAAAAGAATTTGAAGATACCTCAAAGAGCTAAAAATAGAGATACCATTTGATCCAGCAATAGCACTATTAGGCATTTACCCAAAAGAGCAAAAGACATTCTATAATAAAGACATCTGCACCCAAATGTTTAGGGCAGCACAATTCGCTATTGCAAGGATGTGGAAACAATCTAAGTGCCCATCAATTCATGAGTGGATTATTAAAATTTGGTAAATGTACACAATGGAATACTAAATTATAAGAAATGACAGTGATCTAGCACCTCTTACATTTTCCAGGATTGAACTTGAGTCTATTATCTGAAGTGAGGTGACACAAGATGAGAAGTATAGGCTACACTTGTACTCGCCATCAAATTGGCACTGACTGATTAACACTAGGGTGCTCACATGGTAGTAATATTCTCCAGGTATTAGGAGAATAATACCTGGTGGGGGGGTAAACTCATAACTAAAGGACACGGTGAGCATTGTAGAGGGGAAGGGCATGCCTCTAACCCTCAATAGGGAAAGGCAAAGATATAAAATGTAACCAAAATGTTTGTACCCTCATAATATGCAAAAATAAAAAATATATATTGAATTATTGTTTAAAAAATAAAATATACAATGACTTATTAGCTAATCGTGACATTTAATATTCCAAACTCAATATAAAATTTATTGATAGGAATAAAGGCCTTGAAGGAATGAACTCTGTAATTTTTGTTTCTAAACTCAGTATGTTTTAGTATACCTTACAAGTACCTTCAGAATTTTTATGAAGTACCTCTTTAGGAGAAAATCAGGAGGGGTGTGCTGGCTCACACCTATAATCCTAGCTCCTTTGAAGGCAAAGATAAAACTATCATTTGCAGCCAGACCGTTGAGACGAGCCTGAGCAACATAGCGGGACACCACCTCTACAAAAAGTAAAGTTGTTAGTGGGGCATAGTGGCATGTTAATGTAGTCACAAGTACTTGGGAGTCTGAGGTAAAAAGATAGACTGAGTCCTGTAGTCAAAATTTGCAGGATCTACATCAAAGATACGGCTCTCAGGCCTGGGAAACATAGAGAGACCCTGTCTGTAATTAATTAATTACCTGAACCACAGTTTCTTGTGTCAATATGGATAGATTTCATTAATATAATGCCGCCCAAACAAAAATAATTTATCACGGTATATACAGTGTCTAACCATTTATATAAAAATTTAGAACATGAAAACCAAAACTACATGACATTTCTGACCATACACATATGTATTCACAAGGTTTGAATATTTGTAGGAATGACAAACAACTAATTGTGGGTATTCATTAGTGTCACTACTATTGCAGGGCCCAAAGGGCAAGACATTTAAGAACTGCTGTTGAAAATACTGTCTTTACCAAATTGTCATTAAGAAATGATTAATTACTTTCCTCCTTTGTAATAATCACACATACCCCCTACACACACACACACACACACCCCAAGCCTCCTAGTCAGAATGTTTAATTGGGTTAAAATCATCAGTATAACAATAATATGATGAAATAAATAAAGGTTAAAAATATAGGTGGCACGTGGGTAGGAATGGTTTCATCTTTGTAAAGTTCAGATATGTCCAAAAACTACAAAATCTGAAGGAAATGGAAAAATTCTTGGAAGCACAAAATGTCACTAACCTCAATCAGGAGGAAATAGATTTGCTAAACAGACCAATATCAAGCCCAGAAATTGGAGCAGCAATAAAAAATCTTCCAACAAAAAAGGCCCGACCAGATGGACTTACACTTGAATTTTACCTAACATACAAAGGAAAACTCCTACCTATACTGCAGAAACTATTCCAAAGCATTGAGAAGGATGGTATCCTCCCCAATCATTCTACAAAGCCAATATCACCCAGATACCAAGGCCAGGAAAGGATGCAGCAAAAAAAGAAAATGAAAGACCTATGCCCTTCATGAATGTAGATGCCAAAATCCTCAACAAAATTTTAGCAAACTAAATCCAACAGCACATCACAAAAATAATTCACCACGACCAGGTGGGCTTTATCCAGTGATACAGGGCTGGTTCAATATACCCAAATCTATAAATGTAATTCACCACGTAAATAAAACCGAGAACAAAGACCATAGGATTCTCTCAACAGACACAGAAAAAGCAATTGATACAATGCACCACACTTTTATGATAAAAACCCATAAAAAAAGAAGCATAGCTGAGACATTCCTTAAAATCATTAAGGCTACATATGATAAACCCACAGCCAATATGATACCGAATGGGGAAAAATTGAAAGCATTCCCCCTTAGAACTGGAAACATACAAGGTTACCCACTATCTCTCTACTTCTATTCAACATACTGCTGGAAGACCTGGCCAGCCAGAGCAATCAGACAAGAGAAGGAAATTAAGGGTGCGTGAATGGGAGCATAAGAGGTCAAACTCTCACTCTTGGCTGATGATATGGCATTATACCTGGAAAATCCCGAGGATTCAACAAAGGGACCCCTGGAAAATATAAATGAATTCAGTAAAGTCTTAGAATAAAATAATTAATGCACAAAAATTAGTGGAATACATATAAGCCAATAACAGACAACCAAAAATCAAATCAAACATGCAACACCTTTCACAATAGAATCAAACAAATTTAAATATTTAGGTATATTTAAAGAACGAGCTGAGAGATAATTATATGGAAAACTATGAACACTGAGAAAAGAAATTGTAGACGATGTGCACAGATGGAAATCCCTACCATGCTCATGAATTGGTACAATCAATATTGTTAAAATGTCCATTCTGGGGCATGGGCAATATACGTAACTTTAACACTCATACCCCCATAATATGCTAAAATTAAAAAAAAAATTTAAAAAAAAGAAGTTACAAAAAAAATGTCCATTCTATCTTAAGTGATCCGCAGAATGAAATCCCTATCAAAAATCCACGATCATTGTTTACAGATTTAGAAAAATTAATTCTATACTATGACTACAACCAGAGAAGACCTCATATAGCCAAAGCAATCTTTGGCAAAAATAACAAATGTAGAGGCATCAGTCTCTCAGCCTTAAATTTTACTACAAGGCTATAGTAACCAAAACAACATGGAAATCACAAACGAACAGAGATATAAACCTTTGGACTAGGACAGAGAGCCCAGATATAACACAATCCTCATATTGTCATATAAGCTTCAACAAAGCAGACAAAAGTATACATTGGGGAAAAGAATCTCTATTCAATACGTGGTACTGGGAAAACTGGATATCCACATGGAGAAGATTGAAATATGATGCCCACCTCTCATCTCTCACAAAAATCAACTTACCGTGTGCAATAGACTTAAACCTGAGGCATGAAACCTTAAGAGGTGTGGAAGAAAATGTGCAGAAAACTCTTTTAGACATTAGTCTATGTAAAAAATTTTTTGAAGTACACCCCCAAAGCAATCGCAGCAGCAACAAAAATAAACAAATGAGATCTTTAATTAACAAATGAGATCAAATTTAAAAGCTTCTGCACAGTCAAGGAAACTGTCATTAGAGCAAATAGACAAACTACAGAATGGGAGAACATATTTGCTTTCTACACACCAGATAAAGGGCTGATAACAAGAATCTATATAGAACTTATGAAAATCAATAAGAAAAAAATCAGACAACCCCATCAATAGAGAAAGAACATGAACAAAAATTTTTCAAAATAAGACACACTAATAGCCAGCAAACATATAAAAAAGTGTTCAACACCTATAATCATTATAGAAGTGCAAATCAAAACTACGATGAGATATCAACTGACTTCAGGGAGAATGACCTCTATCAAAAAGAATGGCCTCTAACAAATGCTGGTGTGGATGTGGAGAGATAGGAACACTCTTACACTGCTGGTGGGACTGCAAATTAGTACAACCCCTGTCCAAAGAAGTTTGGAGATACCTCAAAGAGCTAAACACAGAAATACCATTTGACCCAACAATCCCACTACAAGGCAACTATCCAAAGGAAAAAAAGACATTCTATAATAAAGGCATCTACACTTGAGTATTTACAGCAGCACAATTTACACATGCAAGGTGTGGAAACATCCTAAATGCCCATCAAAACATATGTGGATTAATAAAATGTGGTATATGTATAGCATGGAATACTACTCAACTACAAAAATCAATGCTGATCTAGCACCTCTTATTTTATCCGGGATAGAGATTGATCCCTTTCTTCAAAGTGAGGTATCCCAAGGATGGAAAAACATGCACCACATGTACTTGCGATCACACTGGTACTAATTCATCAACACCAAGGTGCTCACATGGTAGTCATACTCACTGGGTGCCATCAAGTAGGGGGGGGTCTGGGTTGGTGGAAGAGGGGGTAGGTGGGTAAACCCACAGCTTATGGAAACGGGGCATGCCGTATGGGAGAAGGACACGCTTGTAGCCCTGGCTTGAGTGAGGCAAATGCATTTCACATAACGAAAACGTTTGTAACCCCCCCCCCACTGCTGTGATTTAAAAATGAAAAAAAGAGAAAAAATAATCTATCTTAAGAAAAGAAAAAGGAATTTTAACAAGCATTTGAAACACAGGAAAAAGTACACAGTGTCATCCTTTACTCTGACTCCCTAACAACTATAGATATTCCATACTTGGAACTTTAGAGGTTCAGATCATAAAAGTAGAAAACATATTAGTAACTACTTAGGATATTTTGAATTTGGTTTCCTATACTTGTAAACATCTTATTTCAAATATGGAAATCAATAATAATATTTGCATTATTTATGGCAAATCCTTCCATCAGATTTAGAAAAACAAGTATGAATGAGTAGACTGTAAGCATTGCTAAATTTTAGTGTAATTAATTCCAGGCCAAAATTTACATTACACAATTTACCTGATCTGGGCCCAGCACCTTGGATCCCGCCTACAATATCAGCACTCAGGGAGGCCACAGGGGAAGAATGCCTTGAGTCCAGGACTTTGTCACCAGCTTGTGGGACAAGGCGAAAGCAAGTCTCTACAGGAAAAAGTGACATTATTTCAGCTTCAGGGCAGGAGCCCATATCTCATTTCCTCAGCAGGCTGAGGCAGGGGATCCCTTGAGCACAGGACTTCCATGTTGCAGTGAGCTATGACTGCACAACTGCACTTCAGCCTGGATAACACAGTGAGATTCTACTTCTCAACAGAGGTATTTACCTGGTCTGGATGTTTGTAAGTCCTTCGTTCCTAGTGCTTTCTCTGGAACAGATTCTTTCATTTCAGTGGTTGGCTGAATGGGGTTGCAAACAGAGTATTTCATAAATAATCTATATTTCATACAATATGTAGTGAATAATTCAAGATAAAATATACATGTTATTACCTTCAAAGAAGGTTGTTTCTCAGAAGACCCTAAAAAGGAAAAGGACATACAGTTTATACTAATGAATATATAAATGTAAACACACCAAAGCCAACCACACATTCATAAAAAACTTATTCTCAATCTGAATCTTCACATAGAGCTTTGGAAATGGTAAGCCCTTTTCATTTTGCTTTGTCGTTTTTTTAGTATTAGGACAGCAATATTAGGGAAATATGATGATGAAACATAGAGGGTTCATGTTCTCCAGCATGAAGTTAAACCTCAAAAGTGAGATTACTTTCCAAGTACTTTTAATTAAAATGGAGATGTACACCTATACCAATTTGAACACGCTAGTCGATGAAGAAAACAGTGATCGTCATTCCAAGAAGCAAATGATGACCATGGGAGGATAAAGGTCAAATCCAACTGCAGAAGGCTGCAGGCTACCTTTAATATAACTTATCAGGATCATATATATCATCTCACTACAACTATCATTTTCTTCACTGTCTTTTGTAACTTTAGAAGTACACAGGTGTGACCACACTTCAGTTGAATGTATAATCAATTTCACATTACAGAAACTGTTGTCAATTGATCGGCCTGGACATACACTTGAACATTAATAGTTCATACAAATATTCCTTTTTTTCACAGATATGTGGCCTACGGGAATGCTGTCTTCATTTTTAAAAAAAAAAAAAGAGGGCAAGAAAATAAAAAAATATTCTCTATAAATTAAAAAAAGAATTTTAACAAGCATTTGAAACAGAGGAAATGTTGCAGTGTCATACTGCTCTCTTGGACGCTCTAACAAGTATAGAGATTTCAAACTTGGAATTTTAGAGGGTCAGAACATAAAAGTAGAAAACATATGAGTGAAAACTTAGGTTTTTTTAACTTGTTTCCCTATGCTTATAAACATCTTATTTCAAATATGGAAACACAGAATAATATTTGCATTATATATGGGAAATCCTTCAATCACATTTTGAAAAATAATTATGAATGAGCAGAGTGTAAGCATTTCTACATTTTAATGCAATTCCTTCCAGGCCAAAATTTTGCATTAGAAAATTCACCTGATCTGGGCCCAGCACCATGGATCCCACCTACAAAACCAGCACTCGGGGAGGCCACGGGGAAAGGATGCCTTGAGTCCATGACTTTTGCCCCAGTTGATGGCACATAGCAAGACCAGGTTTCTAAAGGACATAAAATGACAGTTCAGTTTAGTGGCTGGAGCCCCTCTCTCAGCTACCCTGCAGGCTGAGGCAGGGAGATCCCTTGAGCACAGGACTTCCATGTTGCAATGAGCTATGATTGCACAACTGCGCTTCATCCTGGATAATACAGTGAGATTCTATAGGTATTTACCTGGTCTGGATGATTGTATGTTCTTTGTTTCTAAAGCTCTCTCTGGAACAGATTCTTGCATTTCAGAGATTGGCTGAATGGGGTTAGAAACAAGGTGTTTCATAAATAATCTATATTTCATATAATATACAGTGAATAATTCAAGATAAGATATACATGTTATTACCTTCAAGGGAGGTTGTTTCTCAGAAGACCCTAAAAAGCAAAGGGGACATACAATTAACACTAATGATTATAGAAATGTAAACATGGCAAAGCCTACCGCACATTCATAAAAACTTAGTCTCAATCTGAATCCTCACACAGGGCTTTCAAAATGTTAAGGTTCTTTAATTTAGGGGTTTTTTTGTTTTGTTTTTTTTGCTTTTCTAGTGTTAGGACAGCACATGTGGGACGTATGATGAGGAAACATAGAGGGATTGGTGTTCCCCAGCATGAAGTTAAAATCTCAAACATAAGATTACTTTTCCAGTAATTGTAATTAAAATGGAGATGCACACCTATACTAATTTGAATATGCTTTTCAATGAAGAAAACAGTGATCTTCATTCCAAGAAGCAAATGATAACCCTGAGAGAATGAAGGTCAAGGCCAATGGCATAAGGCTGCAGGGTATCTTTAACACAACACATCAGGATCATATATATCATCTAACAACAACTATTTATCATTCTATTCAGTTTCTTTTCTAATTTTATTTATTTTTTTTTCTTTTTCGCCTCCTTCACCTACCCCTCTTTTCTAATTTTAGAAGTACACAGGTGGGAACACACTTCAGGTGAATGCATAATCAATTTCACATTGGAGAAACTGTTGTCAATTGATCAGCCGGACTTATCTTTCCACAATAATAGTTCATACAAATATTCCTTTTTCCCCACACATGTGGGCTACTGGTATACTATCCTGATTTTAAAAAGAAAAAAAAAAAGAGAAAGGAAAGAAAAGAAAATAATCTCTATAAATAAAAAAATATATATATTTAAGAAGCATTTGCTACACAGGAAATACTCCAGTATCATAGTGTTCTCTTTGATTCTCTAAAATGTATAGAGATTCCAACTTTGGAACTTCAGAAGGTCAGAACTAAAAGCAGAAAACATATGAGTAAAAACTTAGGTTTTCCAAATTTGTTTTCCTATACTTGTAAACATCTTATTTCAAATATGGAAACAAATAATAATATTTGCATTATTTATGGCAAATCCTTCCATCAAATTTAGAAAAACAAGTATGAATGAGTAGACTGTAAGCACTGCTAAATTTTAATGTATTTCCTTCCAGGCCAAAATTTGCATCACAAAATTTACCTGATCTGGGCCCAGCACCTTGGATCCCACCTACAATATCAGCACTCAGGGAGGCCACAGGGGAAGAATGCCTTGAGTGGAGGACTTTGCCACCAGCTCGTGGGAGGAGGGGAGAGAAGATATCTACAGGAAAAAAAGTCACAATTAGTTCAGCTTCGAAGCAGGAGCCCATATCTCATTTCCTCAGCAGGCTGAGGCAGGGGATCCCTTGAGCACAGGACTCCCATGCTGCAGTGAGCTATGATTGCGCAACCGCACTTCTGCCTGGATAACACAGTGAGATTCTACTTCTCAACAGAGGTATTTACCTGGTCTGGATGTTTGTATGTTCTTTGTTCCTAGTGCTTTCTCTGGAACAGATTCTTTCATTTCAGTGGTTGGCTGAATGGGGTTGCAAACAGAGTATTTCATAAATAATCTATATTTCATACAATATGTAGTGAATAATTCAAAATAAAATATACATGTTATTACCTTCAAGGGAGGTTGTTTCTCAGAATACCCTAAAAAGGAAAAGGGACATACAATTTATACTAATGAATACATAATTGTAAACATGGCAAAGCCAACCGCACATTCATAAAAAACTTAGTCTCAGTGTGAATCCTCACACAGGGCTCTGAAAATGATAAGCCTTTTTCATTTTGCTTCATCATTTTTTTAGTGTTAGGACAGCAATATTAGGGAAATATGACGATGAAACATAGAGGGATACATGTTCTCCAGCATGAAGTTAAAATCTGAAATATGTGATTACTTTCCAAGTACTTTTAATTAAAATGGAGATGTACACCTATACCAATTTGAACATGCTTGTCAATGAAGAAAACAGTGATCCTCATTCCAAGAAGCAAATGATGACCATGAGAGGATAAAGGTCAAATCCAATTGCAGAAGGCTGCAGGGTACTTTTAATATGACTTATCAGGATCATATATATCATCTCACTACAACTATCATTTTCTTCACTTTCCTTTGTAATTTTAGAAGTACACAGGTGTGAACACACCTCAGTTGAATATATAATCAATGTGACATTGGAGAAATTCTTGTCAACTGAGCAGCCTGGACATACACTTGGACATTAATAGTTCATACAAATATTCCTTTATTTCACAGATATGTGGGCTACGGGAATG